ACAAATTGTTCGCTACATTCACAAACCATCCCACGTCCTCTTTCATCAATTCCAGCACCGTCCCTTCCTTGAACTCAACTTTTGCCACTTCCAACAGCACAAAATGTATTGGTACTGATTCAGCATTTTGTAAATGAGCACCAGTCTTCCCAGCTAGATCTTAAGTCCCTTAAAAGCAGGAACGGAATTGTATGATCTCTTCGTTCTTGGTTTCACTAGATGAATAGATGGCCAATAACTATTTACTGTTGATAATGACATGTTATCACCTAAAAGTTTTTTTCACATTCAATATCTAGCTCTGGAAGCAGATTTAAATAAATCAGGTTGCTCAAATTAATTTTGCATACTTTGGGGAATGTTTAACCTATAACCATATAATGCGAGAGAGGCAACTGTTTTCTTCTGGAAAAAGCATCAGACTTAGGGTTTGAACTCATTAACTAGTCAGTACACAAGTTTCTTAACTTTTAGCTTCTTTATCTGTTATACGTAGACCTATCCAGCAGAGTTGACTGTGAGGTGTAAATGAGATAGTATCAGAGGATGCTTTGAACATTTCAGAATCTACGTAAATAGCTGATGATATCAGAAAAGTACTCAGAATAAACATCCCATTGATGTTGTAAGATGAATCTTTTGCTAACCTCCTAATTAGAAACCTCTAGCAATCTTTTTGTTTGTTTTATTTTTATTTTTTATTTTTTTGAGAGAGAGAGAGAGAGAGTAGGGGGAGAGGCAGAGAGAAGAGGGAGATACAGAATCCAAAGCAGGCTCCAGGCTCTGAGCTGTCAGCACAGAGCCCGACACGGGCCTCGAACCCATGAACCATGAGATCATGACCTAAGCCAAAGTCGGACGCTCAACCGACTGAGCCACCCAGATACCCCAGAAATCTCCAACAATCTTAACACATTGATGGAAAGACCTGCTGTGTAATGACTACACCAAACTAATTTAGTTGATAGTTCACACTCTCTGCCCATAGTTTCTTCACATAAAGCCCTTACCTGGTGCCTGCCATTCTTGGCTATTTAAACAAGTATCCAGAGACTGAGAAGGCTTTTCTAGAAGGGTACACCGTTTTTAACAAGTGTTAAGTGACTTATCAAGTGGGGGTTCACTTGATAATACCAAACTTTATATTTTCTTTGCCTGAAAGTTTCTCACAGGGTCTCCCATGCCACTTCACATCATCTCAGAGGTAGGTAAACCCACCTTCTCTAGTACTAAGGAGTGCCCCCTTTAGCACAAATCATTCTGTCTTATAATGTATTTGTTTCTAAACGTGTCTGCCATGTGAATCTAAGGGTGTCATGAAATAGAAGATTACAAGTTATTTGTGGGTGGGTTTTCTTTCTTTCTTTTTTTTTTTTTTTTTTTTAACAATTCATTGATTTTTGTATCCCTGGGACTTAGCACAAAGCCTGGCACTTAAAATAAAGTTCTTGGGGCGCCTGGGTGGCGCAGTCGGTTAGGTGTCCGACTTCAGCCAGGTCATGATCTCGCGGTCTGTGAGTTCGAGCCCCGCGTCAGGCTCTGGGCTGATGGCTCAGAGCCTGGAGCCTGTTTCCGATTCTGTGTCTCCCTCTCTCTCTGCCCCTCCCCCGTTCATGCTCTGTCTCTCTCTGTCCCAAAAATAAATAAAAAACATGGAAAAAAAATTAAAAAAGAAAAAAGAAAAAAAAATAAAGTTCTTACTCAATAAATACTGAATAAATGAATAAAACGTAAAAGAGGCAACCCTGCAGATAATGGTGATGTTTTAGTCTTTTTGTTCTCCTTCCCTCCCCCCACCTCCCCAACAGAATAAATGCTAGGAGGCTTCAGTTCCCTAGGGACCTTTAGCCCTGCTGGCCTGGACTTCCCTCAATGTGCTACTCTAGATCCCTTCCGCAACAGGGGGGCGCTAGGCTTCTGGGAACATCCCTTCTCCCACTTCTATCACCTGCCCTCAGAAGCCCAGGGGTTTCTTGTTGTCATGTCTTCCAAAAGATCTGTCCCTCTTCTCTGTCTGAAAAGGAGTATTACTTTGGTGCTCTTGTCTCAACAAACTCTTCTAAAACAAAACACAATTGGTAAACTCATTTGAATTTTGTTGTTAATGGTGAGCTCATCTTCAGTGTATTATCCCCTTCTTTAAAAAAAAAAAAAAGATAAAAAGGATTAACCTAAAGCAGTGAATTTCTAATATTAGAATGTCAGTCCATGTGACTGGTGCTTGGGCCTGGGAGAAGAGAGGGGCTTTAGAGCAGCAGTGCTTTTCCTTTGCCCCTGGAAACCTACTTGTAGAACCAGCCCCACTCAAGAGAAGAAAAATCTTTTGTTTCACACCAAAACACGCTTGTGATTCTCTCCTCTACCTCCTACATCACAAAAGTGTTGTAAGAACAAATTTTTGCCCAACAAAATGGCAGACTACTCTAATCTTGTGTGTTAATGTCATTGGTGGACCAGGTCATGGTGGATATGGAGTCGGTGGAGAAGGATGACAGATCAGCTCAAAAGGAAGTTCTCTCGGGGCGCCTGGGTGGCTGAGTCGGTTAAGCATCCAACTCTTGATTTTGGCTCAGGTCATGATCTCACGGTTTATGAGATCGAGCCCCCACATCGAGCTCTGCAATGTGGAGCCTGTTTGGGATTCTCTCTCTCTCCCTCTCTTTCTGTCCCTCCCCCCCCCACCCCTATCAAAATAAATAAACTGTTTTAAAAAAGTAAATTCTCCTCCAGCTTCACACTGCTGAGGTATCCTCAGCCTGTTATAAAAGAGCCCCCACCCCACCCCTTAAGTCCTTGATTTCCTCTCCAGCCAGCCTGAGATAAAACTGTTGCGGAGGGTTAAAACTTTGCTCCGCAGCACTCCTTATATCCCCTCTAGAACGTCAGAGAGTTGCCACAGGCTATGTGACCTTTTCAGTACTGGTCCTTCAGCTAGCTGCATACCTGTGTATGATGGGAGCAGCTCCTGCTGTCTTCAACCTGGTCACTTCCGTTTTCCTCTGAGCAAATGACTGATATCTAATCCTTTGGTAAACCAGCTGCCTTTGGGTATACCGCACATGAAGCAACTGCCATTTTCATTCGGGTGTGAGATGGGGATTTTGTGTCTCATTTTCTCTTTCTGAAAATTTATTCATGTAACATTCGATAAAAACCATTTGTTGCAACAACATGGATGGACCTTGAGGCCATTATGCTAAGTGAAATACGTCAGACAGAGAAAGACAAATATGATTTAATCTCATTTGTATGTGGAATCTAAAATAGCCTAACTTGTAGAAACAGTAGAATCGTGGTTACCAGGGTTAGGGGGTCGGGGGACTGGAGAGATGTTGTTGATTGGTGGGTACAAACTCACAACTAGGAGGTAAGTAAATTCTGGAGATCTAATGCACAGCATAGTGATTGTAGCCAACAATACTGTATTATAAACGTCAAAATTGCTGAGAGACTAGATCCTAAATGTTCTCACCACAAAAGAAATGATAATTATGTGCCATAATAGAGGTGTTAGTTTAATGTTCTGGTAGCAATCTTATTCTAATATTTAAATGTATCCAATCAACATGTTGTACACCTTAAACTTATGCCATGTTATTTGTCAATTATATCTCAATGTATTTATTTAGAAAAAAATTTCTTAATGTTCATTTTTGAGAGAGAGAGAGAGAGAGAGAGAGAGAGAGCTTGAGCAGAGAAGGGGCAGAGAGAGAGGAAAACACAGAATCTGAAGCAGGCTCCAGCCTCTAAGCTGTCAGCACAGAGCCCGATGTGGGGCTTGTACTCACAAACCTCAAGATCAGGACCTGAGCTGAAGTTGGATGTTCAACTGACCGAGCCACCCAGGCGTCCCAATTGTATCTCAACTCAAAAAAACGTTTGTAACTTGCCTAATTGGAGAATAAATTTGCATGCATTCTCCAGCAAGGCTTCTTTGTTTTTTCATAATCTGGTGACCGGAATATGGAAAATATTTACATTTTGTACCGTATTTGAAGCACTGTGGCTTTGTTCTTTTGAACTCAGTTTTTTGTTTGTAAGCAAAAGAGGGAAATAACTGAGTGAGAGATGTGATCTAGATTTTTACAGCTGCATTCCGTATTTTTAAATCATATAATAGGAGTGAATAAATTATGTTGTACAAAATGGTTTAATCCAAGTGTCAGCTTCAGGGATTCTTGAGATAGCTACTAACTTTTCAGTTTTGCTGGCCTTGGTGGCAGGCCGTGTCTTTACTCAGAAACCTTTGCCATTGGCTGGGGTCTCTGGACCTGTCGCCATGCTTCTGAAGGTACCACTTCTCTGAAACCTCCCTTTTCATTGTTCCTGCCCTTTCTGAGCAGCAGGAACAGTCACATGACTGCTGTGCACATCTCCAGGCCACCATTAAGACATAACCTTGTCAGCAGGGTATCAAGATGCATGCAGTCAGTACCTTCCAGAGAGGCGGAGCAGGTACTTCAGAGTCCTCTGTACTTTGAGATTTGTTTCAGAGTCACAGACGGTGTGGCCCCGCAAGATGCACTCACAGAGGTATGGTCGCTGGAGACTCACCAGCCTTTTCTTACCTGCAATTTATAAACTGTCCTCAGGGACGGGAAAGAGTCTTCCAAAGCAAAACACAATGGCAGCCAGTGCCCTGGCCAAAGCCCTGTGTCTGCTCGCTGGTGTTTGGGAATCCTGAGTCGAGGTGAGGACCTGCGGCCACCACGGCTCCGTGGAATGAGTCCCGATGCAGTTCTGCCAGTGCTAAGTGTGTGTGTGGCTTTGGTCTCCTCCCCACAGCTATTGACCTGCTGTACTGGCGGGACATCAAGCAGACTGGGATCGTGTTCGGGAGCTTCCTGCTACTGCTCTTCTCCCTGACCCAGTTCAGCGTTGTGAGTGTCGTGGCCTACCTGGCTCTTGCCGCACTCTCAGCCACCATCAGTTTCCGCATCTACAAGTCTGTGTTACAAGCGGTGCAGAAAACCGACGAGGGCCACCCTTTCAAGTGAGTACCCCAGCTGGGCCAGTCCTGGCCCGGTCTCTCACGGGGCTCCTTCCCCCTGACTCTGTTTCAGCTCCTGGGCATTTGGGTGATATGTCTCTGGGACCTGACAGATGTCTCCGAGTCTCTTTAATGCCCTGGCTTCTAATATTTTCTGGTGAATTTCTAAGGCAAACTCCGTTATCCCCATTGTAACACTTACTTGCTGTATTGAGTTTTTATATTTAATTATTACTAATGAATTAAGCTGCATATTTAATATAAATTTATAGAGCATACACTTATATTTCATATTTTATATTTAATTATTACTAATAGTGATCATAATCCATTATATGTGCACAATGTTTTATAATTTAAGGAGTAAGCAACAATTAATCCTCCCTACCCTGTGAAGAAGGCAGAGCAGTGTAATTAATCTCTACGTACAGGTGGGAAAACTGAGGCTCTAAGACGTAAAGGGACTTGCCCGAGGTCATATGGCCAGTAAATAGCACAGAGTCAGGGCTAGGGTATTTGGATTTTTCTTTTTCTTTTTTTTTTTTTTTTTT